GAAGGTACTTTTGGGGGGTATGGGTGTGGAATAACAGTGTCTTCGACCCGTCAGGCAGTGGTGGAGTGAGGGTGGAGATGGTGTGAGGGGAAAGTGCTAAGCCACTACGTCCACACGCATCTGAGGAGAGGTGAGGGCAGATTATGAGGTGGAATATGAGGCAGGGTGAAGGACTCCAACCAGAGGCGCCGCTCCTGTGCCAGGTAAGTTACGGGCTCACCATAGCCCGTGCTATTTGGAACTTGTTCAGAGTTCCTCCAGAGTACACTGGAGGTACGCGAACAAGGGGACACAGGTGGAAACTGAGTACCGAAATGAGCCACAGGGACATTAGAAAGAACTTTTTCAGTGTCAGAGTAGTTAACAGATGGAATGCATTAGACAGATGTGGTGGAGGCGGATTCCATACACAGCTTTGAATGTAGATATGATAGAGCCCAGTAGGCTCAGGAATCTGTACACCTGTTGATTGACGGTTGAGAGGCGGGACCAAAGAGCCAAAGCTCAACCCCCGCAAGCACAATTAGGTGAGTACACACACACACACACAAGGGGCCTGGTAGCCTGGTGGATAGCGCGCAGGACTCGTAATTCTGTGGCGCGGGTTCGATTCCCGCACCAGGCAGAAACAAATGGGCAAAGTTTCTTTCACCCTGAATGCCCCTGTTACCTAGCAGTAAATAGGTACCTTGGAGTTAGTCAGCTGTCACGGGCTGCTTCCTGGGGGTGTGTGTAGTGTGGAAAAAAAATTAATAGTTAGTAAACAGTTGATTGACAGTCGAGAGGCGGGCCGAAAGAGCAAAGCTCAACTCCCGCAAAACACAACTAGTAAACACACACACACACACACACACACACACACACACACACACACACACACCTGTATGTACGTACACACGTGTACAGGTGTGTGTAAGGGTGGAAGCAACAAGGAGGTGCGTGAGGACTGTGATTACATCGGGGACACCCTACTGGTTCAGGCATTCCTCAACTTGTCCAGAGTATTGTCCCCCCTCCCATCCTTCCCCGCCCCCCCCCCTCCCCACCGGCGCCCCTTGCCCCCCTTCCCCACTTAACGTAATCTAACTTAACAGGCTACCTGGCGAGGGGATTGTAAAGTTGAAACCACTGTCTGTCACCCTTGCTGTCTGCTTTCACCCCGTCTCCTCTTTCCGCTCTCCATTTAACCCCTTCCCTCACTACCTCCCCTTATCCCCTACTTTCCCCCCCCCTCCCCTTAGCCCTTGCCTCATTACCAGCGGATCCATAGTAGTGAGGCCAGGGTGAGGGTATGGTAGTGTGTGTGTACTGGACACTTATACAATGGTCAAAATGGGTCGCTGTATTACACACGACTTTCTTAACCTTCTCTGGGCTCTGTGCCTTCTTGTGATAAGTTGCTCCATTTCCTTGATGTATTGATTCGAGTCCAACTACCATAACACCGGTAATGTATTAGGCTCTTGCTGTGTGTGGCGGGAATAGTGTTGAGTGTGGCGCATATTGCTCGGCTTATCACGGCTACACGGGGAGTTTCACCAGCGTTAAAACGTCCTTTGTTTTAACGTTAAATCAACGTAGTTTGCCCAGCACCGTATGGTGCTCGCTCTCGCCTGATGCATCTGTTCACCAAGCAGTAAATACGTACCCAGGAGTTATATAGCCAGCTTGATGTGGGGGGTTGCATCCTGGGGAGGGTCATTACTTGGCCCCCCTCGAGGATCGAACGCCGACCCAGCCAGAAGCGAGCCCATCGCTCTACCCACCAGTCACAAGGGGAGGTTAATTCCGTGAATTATGCGTGTGTCTCACGGCACCATTACCCAGGGAACTATAATGACTAACTGGCCCTGGGGACGGCCTTCGTCTGGAGTGTCGACCCCTCAAGTGGCACTCCACTTGACACTCCACGCTTGTTGCATACACGGTAGCGAACTGTGCCCGGCATAGTCACAAGGGGCGTGGTCCACTCCCCCCTCCCCTTATCCCCCCACACTCGCACTCTCACACTTGCTCTCTCACTTTCTGACTCGCTCGCGCTCTCACACACTCACTCGAGCTCGTTCTCTCACTCACACTGGCTCGCTCTCACTCTCACACACTCGCTCGCGCTAGCTCTCATTTTCTCACTTGCACACTTGCGCTCTCTCATATTCGCTGGCTCTCTCTCACTCACACACATGCTTGTAAGCTCGCACTCTCACTCTCAGACTACCTCTCTGACTACGTAACGGACAAAATCAAATCCGAAGAAAGATTTATACCACCACTAAAGGTTAAGGGCAACAAGACGAGGATTACCCCATGGTTCAACAGGCAGCGTATGGAGACAAAGAAGCAAAAAGAGCATGGAAGAAGTATAGAGAAACACAGCACAAAGGAAACCACAATGCATACATAGAGGCCAGGAATGAGTACTGTGGCGGGGGAGTGAGTCTAGATCTCTCTAAAGCTAAGGACCGTCAGAGCGAGGAACCTGCTCGCTCTAACGCCTGGTGGCAAGTGACGACGAATCTCCCGCGTCCGCCCAGGGGCGCCTGACGTCACGTCACACCCGGGGCGCTTCCTGATTGGTCAATCTGGCCAAGTCCCTACCACTGACCAATCACGTTCCTTTTGCAACCCGGCACCAAAATCCTCCGAAGTATCCTTGGGCGGGAAACCTCCTCCCTCCCGAGGTGAACCGCTATTCTAAGGTGGAGCCGCTCTCTTGCCTGTTTCCCATTGAGATATACAACACAAATGTCTTCACTTTGTGGTACCTTGCCTCCTTGTTAGTGACTAGGCTTCTTCTAGATATGTACAATGGGGGGGGAGTATGACTCTTAACAGATGGGTGAGGCTAATGACAGCTGGACTCAGCAACTAGGAGAGTGGCAGAGAAACAGTACGAGAATGACATTGTATGCAAGGCTAATTCAGAGCCAAAACTGTTCTATAGTCATATCAGGAGGAAGATGTGAATGAGCGGGTTATCAAACTTGACAAAAGTGAGGGCGGACACACGGACACAGTCATGGACAGTCATGGCGAATGGTAGGTGACAGTCTTGAAGATTGTTCAAGTACTTTCTGAAGTACTGGTCGTACTTTCTGTGAAGGGTTATGGGTGGTGGGGGGAGTCGTGTTGTGCCCAGATTATGTGTGTAAAATTTAGTTAAAACATAGATAGGGCTCGTGACCGGATGTGGTTTGGGCAAGTTGAATAAATACTGATGCAAGCAAGTGGCAGAGTCAGTGCTGTACCGGATATGGAGGCGGGAGGCCGGGACCGATGGTGGTCTCGGCCACCATAGCCGAGATTGGCAAGACATGTGGCGGGAAGAGTCGTGGTGGATATGGCTGGCGGTGGTGAAGGTCCGGTCTGTGACCAGGCCTCCTGGCTGCTGGACGCGGCTGCTCCCAGTCTGACATATGAATCACAGTTGATCAGGTATCCTTTGGAGGTGTTATCAAGTTCTCTCTTGCAGTGAACTTCTCTTCCACCTGCAGTGTCCTCTTGTCCTGCTTACACTCTAAAGAGGCTATCCTTGTCCACCTTATGTAGCCCCCACCATAGTATGCGTACCCTGTACGGGTGATCAACACATGAAGTGAAATGACCTGCAAGAAGGGCAAAAAGAATTCAAACATTATTTGTTGAATTATAAGGCAACAGGTACAACAGGGCTGCTAGAGGGGGGGGGGAGGGGCGGCATACAGACCTTCACCTCGCTCACCCATAGTCACTGATAGGAGAGTCCCGATAGATAAGTACCACCAACGTCAGAGTGTAGCTTAGTGATGACCCGAGAGACCACGCCCACCGCCAGTGATCGACCACGCCCACCACCAGTGATCGACCACGCCCACCACCAGTGATCGACCACGCCCACCACCAGTGATCGACCACGCCCACCACCAGTGATCGACCACGCCCACCACCAGTGATCGACCACGCCCACCACCAGTGATCGACCACGCCCACCACCAGTGATCGACCACGCCCACCACGCCCACTAGACCAAGGCGCAGGAAGCGTCAAGTGTCGGGTAAAATCATTTCCTTAATGCAAGAGTTTAATAAGTGATGGGCGGGACTTAACTCTCTTGTCACGAGACCCTTGGGGCGGGGTCGTGATTGGCTGGCGAGGATGGTCACGTTGACCATCCAGAGGTCGTGATTGGCTGGCGAGGATCGTCATGTGACCATCCAGGGGTCGTGATTGGCTGGCGAGGATGGTCACCTGACCATCCAGGGTCGTGATTGGCTGGCGAGGAGATATCGTCGTGTTCTACTTTCGCGGCAGGTGGTTGTGGGGGAACACGCGAGGGGGCAAGGCGAGGCCTCGCTTGTTACAGGTAACGGGTAATTATGCTGTAATTCTCTTCTGTGGAAAAGGTAATTGGTATTGGTGTGTGTGAGGGCGTTGTGGGTGGTGGCGGAGTGCATGCCACCCTCGCCCGGGCTGGGAGGGGTGACAGCAGGGGGTGAAGGGAGGGGTGACAGCAGGGGGTGAAGGGAGGGGTGACAGCAGGGGGTGAAGGGAGGGGTGACAGCAGGGGGTGAAGGGAGGGGTGAAGGGAGGGGGTGAAGGGAGGGGTGACAGCAGGGGGTGAAGGGAGGGGTGACAGCAGGGGGTGAAGGGAAGGGTGACAGCAGGGGGTGAAGGGAGAGGTGACAGAGCAGGGGTGAAGGGAGGGGTGACACAGCAGGGGTGAAAGGAGACAACAAAAATATAAACAAAGAAAGAGATACAATATATCATTAAAAATCAGAGATAAAAGATAATAAACAAACAGAAATCCAAATGATCGGGGAAGACAGGAATGAAAAATAAATGGTGAGAGAGAGGGGGGAGAGTGAAGAGGGTGAAGCGGAAGTCATGAAAACAATAAATGTAGGGGAAGACAGGGAGAGGGAGGGGAGGGGGAGGTTATGATTGGGGGACGGGGGGGCAGAGGAAGAGGGGGTCACCAGGCCTGCTTTTGGAAGAGTCAGTTCTTGTTGAACCACCACAGCACCACCACCACCTCGGCCACCTGGCCTGCCGCACCGCCACGAAACCAAGCAACAGTATCAACTTTAAGGGTTTTAAATAAAACAACTCATTAGTGTGTGTGAATTGTAAGGGCCAGGCTTCGTTTACCCTGTGGGGGTCTTGGTGAGGTGGTTGGATAGTTATAGCCCCCCAGTGAAGTTAGACGTAAGAGAGTGTTTCCAGGAAACTATCCTCATTCAACAGTTGGCCCAGTCAGAAGTTATGGCGGAAAGTTGATTTATAGATGGTCTGCAGAACACGTGTTTGTGTGAGAAGTCAGCCAGTTAAACTCTTAGGCTGATACAGGTGAGAGTGGGGGTCACTATCGTGCTGTGTGACCATGATGGGGACACTCACCTTCACGCTGCTCGCTACACATCTCGTCCTGGCCCAGAGTGAGTATATGTGTCACTTGCACTGGTGTCTCATCATTTTCACTCGTATATTCTACAGCTCCTCATTTTCTACTGCTGCTTCTCGTAGGAAGGTGACCTTTCCTCACTGTTGCCTGACCTTTTCCTTACCTATTGCACCAATCACCTGCAGGCGTCACCAATTGCTGTCTGTCCTGGACAGAAGGGTGGCCAGGCGTCACCAATTACTGTCTGTCCTGGACAGAAGGGTGGCCAACCACCTCTTAGCCCCGAGGAAGTAACCCAGAGCATCATTGCCGTTGTCAAGCGCCCTTGGCCAAGATAAACTTACAATAACATAAGTGTTATTGCTTGGGGGGAACGTGACAGTTATCGTGGGAGTCTGTACGAGGCTATGGTGGGCAGGGCAGCCAGTGGTCCTCTTATACTCCAGCGATACGACACCCAGGTGCTCCACGGGCCCGCTGTACGACACCCAGGTGCTCCACGGGCCCGCTGTACGACACCCAGGTGCTCCACGGGCCCGCTGTACGACACCCAGGTGCTCGACGGACCCGCTGTACGACACCCAGGTGCTCGACGGGCCCGCTGTACGACACCCAGGTGCTCGACGGGCCCGCTGTACGACACCCAGGTGCTCGACGGGCCCGCTGTACGACACCCAGGTGCTCGACGGGCCCGCTGTACGACACCCAGGTGCTCGACGGGCCCGCTGTACGACACCCAGGTGCTCGACGGGCCCGCTGTACGACACCCAGGTGCTCGACGGGCCCGCTGTACGACACCCAGGTGCTCGACGGGCCCGCTGTACGACACCCAGGTGCTCGACGGGCCCGCTGTACGACACCCAGGTGCTCGACGGGCCCGCTGTACGACACCCAGGTGCTCGACGGGCCCGCTGTACGACACCCAGGTGCTCGACGGGCCCGCTGTACGACACCCAGGTGCTCGACGGGCCCGCTGTACGACACCCAGGTGCTCGACGGGCCCGCTGTACGACACCCAGGTGCTCGACGGGCCCGCTGTACGACACCCAGGTGCTCGACGGGCCCGCTGTACGACACCCAGGTGCTCGACGGGCCCGCTGTACGACACCCAGGTGCTCGACGGGCCCGCTGTACGACACCCAGGTGCTCGACGGGCCCGCTGTACGACACCCAGGTGCTCGACGGGCCCGCTGTACGACACCCAGGTGCTCGACGGGCCCGCTGTACGTCGTCGAGCACCTGGGTGTCGTACAGCGGGCCCGTCGAGCACCTGGGTGTCGTACAGCGGGCCCGTCGAGCACCTGGGTGTCGTACAGCGGGCCCGTCGAGCACCTGGGTGTCGTACAGCGGGCCCGTCGAGCACCTGGGTGTCGTACAGCGGGCCCGTCGAGCACCAGGTGGTCGACGGACCCGCTGTACGACACCAGGTGGTCGACCAACCAGCTGTTACGACACCAGGTGGTCGACCGACCCGCTGTACGACACCAGGTTGTCGACCGACCCGCTGTACGACACCAGGATGTCGACCGACCAGCTGTTACGACACCGGGTGGTCGACCGACCAGCTGTTACGACACCGGGTGGTCGACCGACCCGCTGTACGACACCGGGTGGTCGACCGACCCGCTGTACGACACCGGGTGGTCGACCGACCCGCTGTACGACACCGGGTGGTCGACCGACCCGCTGTACGACACCGGGTGGTCGACCGACCCGCTGTACGACACCGGGTGGTCGACCGACCCGCTGTACGACACCGGGTGGTCGACCGACCCGCTGTACGACACCGGGTGGTCGACCGACCCGCTGTACGACACCGGGTGGTCGACCGACCAGCTGTTACGACACCGGGTGGTCGACCGACCCGCTGTACGACACCAGGTGGTCGACCGACCTGCTGTACGACACCAGGTGGTCGACCGACCCGCTATACGACACCGGGTGGTCGACCGACCCGCTGTACAACACCCGGTGGTCGACCGACCCGCTGTACGACACCAGGTGGTCGACCGACCCGCTGTACGACACCAGGTGGTCGACCGACCCGCTGTACGACACCAGGTGCCCGACCAACCAGCTGTACGACACCCGGACAGATAATACAGTATGACGTCACAACGCCTATACAAGCAACAATTGTCAACAGTGTCAATGCAACAATGAATGTATACAGTGTTACCAACAGGATAGTCCGGTGGCCCCAGCCTTCCAGAAATCTAATTTTCCGCAATTGTCAAAACCGCGTATATTGTCAACATGCATTAGAGGGGAGGTTTGGGTTAGTTTGGGTTTGGGTCGGTGGGTTATGAGATCCGATGATTGATAAAGATTAAGCCACCCAAGAGGTGGCACGGGTATGAAATTGAAATTGAAATTGAAATAAGTTTATTGAGGTAAAATACACACAAAGGGATGAGGTAGCTCAAGCTATTCTCACCCCGTTCAGTACAACGTGTTAATATATACATATACACACATCACAAATAAACATATTACCAAACATTCTGAGAGGTAAACATATACATTTCCTCCCTCACAAGTAGTATGGTATCAGACGTACACACAAATACTTTTATGACCTAGGTATACTGTATAGACAATTTGCAAGACACCTGCAGATAATTCAACAAAATATTACAATCTTGGTGCAAAATTCTTATATCTCTCAAGAATATCATCAACCTTTCCGTTGTGACACATCCAGGCTATTTGTTCAGGAACAGTCCTTATCTCAGTGTTTCTATATACACTAATCAACGGACAATCAAGAATATAATGGGCAAGGGTGTGAGACCTTAACATACCACATAGTTTACACTTCGTGTCATTACCATGAACATCTATCCCATATTCCCAGTAATATTTGTACCCAAGCCTGAGCCGCATGTACACAGAGTCACTCCAAGCATTTCTCCTTTTACCATAAGTGAAATGGGTGTTTTGACTCACATACATGTAGTGTTGCATGGTTTGACTACTCTCATACATTAACTCTCTCCTCTCCACTCCCGCCTGTGCCTGAATATTTCTGATTTTGCTTCTTATTTGTCTCATTGTGAATTCACATTCGATGTCAACTTGTGGTTTTGATGTGGCACGTTTGGCCAAGTCATCCGCCACCTCGTTAAGCACTATTCCAACATGAGATGGAATCCACATGAATTTCACACTATAACCTTTCAGCTGTATCTCAGTTATTCTTCTCTTACAGTCCTCCACTATAGACATGAAGACTGGGTTTCTACTGTTTAAGGACTCCAGTGCTCCTCGGCTATCGACAAATACAAAAACATTTTTGTCGTCATGACGTACTTCCTCCAAACACGCCAGAATGGCCTGCAGTTCAGCTTGTGTGGATGATATATAATTACTAAGCCGGAGTTCAATTATCCTGTCCACAGTCCCAAACTCCGTATAATCCCTTATTAGGACACCACACCCTGCCCTGCCATCCTCCGCCACCGACCCGTCGCAATATACATGTAAACTGTTGCCTCTTGGTAACCGAGATATCATGCTTCCATACAAACACCGTAATTGTCCCGGTTCATGATGAATCTTTTTCACCTTGAGGGGTACAATTTCGACGTCTATTTTCTGTACTTTCCAGGGAGCAGACATATTACACTTTCGAGAGGGTTTACAGCAGTCAAGTACGTCGTATTCCCTGAGGTCATGAGCTAATCCTCTCGTATAGCGAGTCTCCCTCAGTTTCCTGGAAGTGTGTACGTCACTCAAGCAGGTCTGAACGCTCTCAAACAGCTTATCCCCTCCTTTTCTCCGCATGAAACGAATAGATACTCTAGTGTTAATGTCACGGACTCTATCACACACACTCTGTAAATTTAATTCCATTCTCATTATTTCAATCATTGCATTTCTTTGACATCCAAGAATAATCCTCATAGCCTCGTTCTGTATCAGCTCTATTTTTTTAATTCTGCCTTGGCCTGTGTAAGACAATACGGGTGCTGCGTAGTCTATCAGGGATCGAACAGTGCTTATGTATAACATCCGCAAGATAGGTACCCCAACACCTTTACCAGAAAAAGCCAGTGCTTTTAGAGGATGCAGACGGGCTTTACATAAGGTGCTGATATGATTTATTTCAGCATTTTTACTCTCACATGTGTATCCAACATACATGCCCAGATACTTGTACTTCTGTACACGGCTCAGTTCCACACCATTTAGAGTAAGTGTTATATTTCTTCGTTTCCTATACTCGTATTTGGTTTTATCTGCATTTATAACTAAGCCTAACTTGTGACAGGTTGTACCAAGTATGTTAAGAGCATCTTGAATTTTGTTCCCAGAAGTGCCTTGTATAAGAATGTCATCAGCATATATGATCGTCGTGACCCCTGGAGGATACATCTCTGATGCTAATCTGTTCATTAATACATTGAATAAGGTGGGACTTAATACTCCCCCTTGTGGGGTACCTAACTGAAACCTCCGTTCCTCAGACATGTATCCCTGGTAATACACCTGACCTTTTCTGCCTTGCAGGTAATCCCTTATCCAGTGTAGCAATCTCCCTGTTATTCCCAGATTGGCTAATTCGTATAAGATTACTTCCCCATTGGCTTTATCAAACGCTCCTTGTAGATCAACAAAAACTCTACAATTGTCATCCACATTAGACAAACACTTTAAGAGACAATCCGCAGTACTTTTGCCTTTGATAAAACCAAAGAGATTATTGGACATGTTATCACCTACAAGGTAGAGTAGCCTATTTAACAAAATCCTTTCCATCATTTTACAAAAGCAGGATATTAAGGAGACAGGTCTGTAGCCTCCGTTTGACTTAGGGATAGGAATGATGACAGCCTCTTTCCATTTTCTTGGTAACTTTCCCTCTCTATAACTCATATTAAACAAATCAAGTAAGGGATTAGGTTTCATACCGGCTAAATAATTAAGTATGTCATACGTTACTCCATCTTTTCCCGGAGCAGTGGAGCTGCCACTTTTTATAGCATCCAGTAGCTCATCGTGGGTTATCTCAGTGCATGCTATAGATCTTGT